CATGCGAGTCTGGCTCGGAAAGTGGAAGCATGTTTCTTTTCCGACCACAAGCACTTTTCTCCTTATTCTTCACCAGAGGTCCGTGATGTGGTCAGTAGACTCACAGACAATGACCTAATGTGTTATGCTGCTCTTTGCTCCATAATATTTCCAGACTCCATTACTCTGCTGCCCCATAGGAATGTAACTGAGGAATGTATTTCCTTTCCACATTTGTTTTCATCTACAGTATGTAATTACATGTAGACCAGTTTGGAGCCTTTTCTAAATTTCACAAATGGTTACAGAGTCGATGAGGTGGTGGCTGGAGGCAAGCTTGTTATTTCCAGCCAACTTTTTATACCTCCAAGGCCGAAATTACCTTTTCCAGCCGGCCCACCCCTCCCTCCCACAGACGTTGTCACCGTGAGGTCACCCATTGGTTTGTAAACCATTATTTTGAACTTATAGTTTGGCATTTTGGCCGTCACCATGCTTATTGGAGCCAGAAGTCACACGAGAGGTTGGAGCTAATTACAGCCATATGCTAAAACAAACGCTTTTTAGGCAAACCAAAATGTTCCAATTAACTTTCAGGAAGAGAAAATACTGGTAAACAGTCAGACATTTGGACCACGTAGCCCGTCCCAAAGCCTTAAGCATTCCCTGCTTTATGGTTTATTTGAACCTAAATGGAAACATCATTTGCTAAATGATCCTCCTGCTGTATTGAAGAAGACTTTAAACTACAAATTGAGACTATAATCTCATGTATACAATGTTTACTGAGCTATAGACTTCTAACACACTTCTTTATGCAACCAGTAGAGTCACCCTCTGCTTGATATCAGAAAGAGTGCAAGTTCAGGCATATTGTCTTCACTTCTCAGTACCAGAGGTTTCCGACTGCTCCATTTATCCCTCAGGTCTGAGGACACAAAGTTGTCTTCCCCTGCCTTTTATAAGAAGTTTTCAACGTTGTGTCTCCATCTTTAATGCCTGGGACTGCTTGTGATTCCTCCCATGCCTCTCCCTCGGCTCCTGTCAGCTCTGTCCACTTCACAGCCCGTACGACCTTCGTGTCATACCAAAGAGAAAGAGGAATGAGGGTGAAAAGCCTCCTGGCTCGAGCTGAACCGAACCTGCCTCGCCTCCCTTTATCTCTCTGCCTCTGAGCCTATTTTTACTGAATCCTCTGTCCTGCTTATACAACTGAATCACAGCGGGCTTTGTGTTGTAATTTAGATGAATCGCCTTAGCCTAGTTACCTGCCACATATAGGATGTGTTGGCTCCGTATTCCCCCAGATATATTTTTTAAGAAATGCTGCTTTTCTCAATTCATCATCAATTCTCTCTGCCTTCCATTTCTAATATACACCTATGAAATTTATTCACCCTGTCGGAGAGTATTCCCTTCTTAATAAATCAGCTTTCCACGGACCTATATAGTGGGTATAAGGTCAAACTCAGCAATATTTTCTGCTTTAATGTACTGAGCAGGGCAGATATTGTGGCATTGACTCAGCAGGCATCCATCATCTTCAAGCAGAGCTACGCAGATGAATTGCTCAGAGACAGAACTGAGAAAATCTGGCATTTTTCTTTCAGCTATGTTCATCTCAGCTCTCGGCTTTAATGTAAATGTTCAGATATTTATGGCGATATTCGCTCTAAAGCTGCAGGGATTTATCTCCTGTGAATCACTAATGGTGATGGATGTGGTGTCTGTCAAGATGAGTATATCAGCATGTCGTCGCTCTTGTAAAACCAACTTTGGTCGAGATGGTGATTGCTTTGCTTCTCTAAGGTTAAGGAGAGTCTTAAGAAACCATTTAAAATGCATTAAGTTAACTCAAAATTGCATGGTGGCCAAGTTTAAACCAACATCTGTGTTTCTTAATTCCTGGCATATAATGATGCAGAGTCATTTGTATCCCAATGGAATCCATTAGCAAGACCACAGCTCAAAACATTTTGAGTTCCCAAATATGAGTTATTTATGATGAATTAATCACAAATTGGGGATTTTACTTACTTTTCACCTGGAAAATGAGAATAATGATTAATAACACTTTAATAAAACGTTTTTTTGGCAAGTAAATGTTGAGAGAGCTGGAACACAAAAGAAAGCAATGTGTAAATGCCACAGTTCAGGCGAAGAATAACAGGATTATAAGTCAGCTACAGTACTCTTGATATCTCTGTTTTTAGCATCAGCATGCTGCAGTTATGGATGCTATGAAACCAAACTTTGATCTAAAATAGATTTCGCTAGCGTCTGAGATATTTTGAGTTTAGCTTTTGGTGACAGGATGAAGGGATTGCAGGTGTTATTCTGCCTCTGGATGCAGACCGAGGCTTTGTTTATCACGAGAAGCTGACAGATTCTGGAAAAAGTCAATGAATTCTGCATTGGCCCATAAATAACCCCCCCCCCCCCCCCCCCCTCCTTGCCGCCGCCTTACACGCTGAAAGGTCAGCAGGCTGATATATTGAGCTGACATCACTACGCTGTTACTGAGGACTTACACATATCACACATGCATCTCCTTCGTTAGCCCACAGTGATGTGACAGAGAGAGGAAGGGAGGCTGGTTATTGGGGGAGGGGATGTCAGGCCGGAGTGACACGAGGTGAGGGAAGACAGCCAACACCCTGCATCTGATCTGATGGGAAGTGAGAGGAAGAAGAGGAGAAGGAGGAAGATTCAGCCTCAAAGCAGGGTCACAGTCTGAGGTCAGAGTAGAGAAAAGACCAGGAGGAGAACAGCAGGAAATACCTCATCCTGACTCAAATAAATCACACTTTACCAAAAAGGGTTCAGATGCTACGGTACTATCTTTACCTTACGGACTGATCTGATAATATTCCAGTTGGTTGGTTTTTATCTGTAGACTGACATTGTGTTCATGTTGGGCAGTGCAACAAACCTGCCAGTGGTGAGTTTAAGACAGAGTTAAGAACAGTCTATACACTGAATATGAAGCGACCACTAGCAGACGTAAGGATTGTAAAGCCTACAGATTACAAATATAAGACACAGTGTTTTATTTAGAGAGCTTTGGGTGTGCTGGTAGGAGGATTATATTACTTTGAAGAATGCATTTCTCCATTGACAAGACTTGTCCCTTTCTGAATTTTGATTGAAACAAATCGGACATGTTTCTGATTATTCAACGGTGTGGAACCAGTTGAAGTTGGAATAGAGGTTTGTTTTGAACCTGTAAGGTGGTTTGTTATTCAACCAGACGTCTCTTTAGCTATGTTGCATTCTTTCATGATTTCAGCAACTAACTTTGGTCCATTTTATCACCAAAGTAACAGAGACCTCTGGTTTCTAATGGATTGGAATCATCCAACACTGTTACTCAAATTGTGATGAACGTAGAAGACGGAAAGGTGTGTCGTCGCTGGGTCGCTCTGCATCATAACAGTATTGTTTCTGCCTCCGGGTTAACCCCCCTGCTAACGAAGGACTTGTTTGTGACTTTTTCCCCACATTGCATGTTGTCTGGGATGAGATGCTCCTGTCAACAGAAACTAATACTTACGTGGTGGTTTCCTCTGCTTAAAAAGGACTGTTACCCACTAACTACACATGAACCTGAGTGAAGCTTTGGGGAAACTGTGACGTATCTCTCCCACCACAGTCCTATAGATTGAAGGCCTCCCAGTGATTTTGTTCGTAGTGATTACCGTCAGCTTTGTTCTGGAGGGGATGACTAAACCCAAAGCACAGCGGAAACAATGCCACACACCATTACACCACCGCACAGACTGAGAGGATCCCCTTCGCGTCGACCACACACCGTGACACACATCAGATTGAACTTTAATTTAACATTTGCATCACCAGGACTGGGTTTAAATGGTGGATTTCTATTTAAAACAAGTCTGTGTAAGTGAGATTGCCTCTAAGGATGGGTGTGTGTGAGATGATGACAGGGGAGCGAGTGGTGTCTCTCTTGTTGCCTCTAAATAGGAATAATTGGTCCTCAACAGAGCTCTTTTTCAGAGAAATCAGAAAGGCATCCTGTGGTTGTTTGTCACCAATACAGTTTCCAACCAGCTAATCCAGGTCATGTGATGGCTGTGGCACAACCCGTCCATATTCTCCCAGAGCGAGCTGCTGAAGCGTGTTCAGCATCAATGATATGCTTCAGGGAAAATGTCAGGTTATAAATAACATTTTGTTGGGTTATTTTTTCCCTCTGCTCTATGTTTGTCTCTGTAAAACCATAAAAATGGGACCTACGTCACGAGCTGTGGGCTTTGATCGGTAAATGAGCGGAAGATGACTCATCCCATTCATTTAGATTAGCTTACATTTATACTCCGGCTTTTTCATCATGCAGGATTTTCTGGGGGGGGTGTAATTTAGGTAGCTGCTTTTATTTTTAACCCAACATACAATCATCACAGTGCAGCACAGTTTCTCTGAGAGGTGTTTTTGAAAAGATCTGCCCTGCTGTAAATAGGCAGACAGATGCAGAGCAGCCCACAAAGATTTAATTTTCTTCACATTTACGTCAGCGCCCTGCAGAAATACTCACTTCTGCTCCAGACCAAATTGCGTTTCCATTCCCGGCCAAATGAATTAAAAATGACACAAGATATTAAAATAGACAAAGTTGACTCCTGGAACAGATGGTCTGGACTACATTTAGATTTGATTCCCTCTCTCACATGGTAATGTAAATGGATTAAGGGACTTTTACTGAAAATAAGTTCCTGCTAGTTTATCCTGCTGCCATTTCAGTGCCAACCATGCACCATACATGTAGCTCCTGCCATGTGTAATTGGGGACTCAGTGGTGTTTCGATGCCATGAAATCAATTTTATGAATCAGCCGGAGACAGCTTTGCAGACTTGTGAGTGGGAAATGAAACGCGTCATTCAGGGAAACACTGAGCTGCTGTTATACAACTCCTGAGCTCAGACAGAACTATTAACCAACTGTATAGAGAAGGCTCCAGTGGAGCACAAAGTGCCTAACGTTTAAAGACTCAAACACCATATGTGTCTACTAAACTTTTATTGAAATTTGATACAACACAAGAAATATTTCTGCAAAAATATACCCCCAATATTCATAAGGAATCTGTGATTAAATACAACAACACGGCAAACTATAATATTCATATGGGATCATTTGTGGATTCATTTTAAAACATGCAGGAATATATTAGAAACTTAAAATAGTAAATAAAGTATCCATTAGTGGCTGATAAGCTTTCAGGTGAAACAGTAACGATGGATGCACATATCAAAATTAATCAAAGCAAGTTAGCACAGAAGATCTTATCTAAATGTCAGATTTTCACACCAGTCTTCAGATGTTGACTCATGTTTTTCAGAGACCTTTGTACTGTCAGGCCAAAATTAAAAATTGCTTTTTATTTCCCAGCACTCCTCTTCTGTATGCTCCTATTGGGTCTGTCGGTCTGAACGTCAGCCTGATCGTCAGCCTGAACGTCAGCCTGTGGATCTCCCTGCAGAGCACACAGAACGTCATGTAAATATTCATCAGATATAGTCAGTTAGTGTGTTAAAGAATACACAGCACACTCACCAGGACAGAGAACGCACCGGAGCGTCCTGAGTTCACCCTCTTCTGTGGATCGAGCTTCTCCTGTCGCCTCACTCTGATCACCTGGAAGAGAAATCACAAGAGTGATGCTTCTAAAAACTCACTTATTTCAGCAACCTAAAAGAAATGATGATGAACAATTTCAAGCGCAAAGCAGGAAGTGCATGTGAATGGGATACAACGGCTAAAATCTATACACCTGAACATCAGCAGGAGAGGACTCTTTAAAGTAGAGACACTACATACTGATATACACCTGAACATCAGCAGGAGAGGACTCTTTAAAGTAGAGACACTACATACTGATATACACCTGAACATCAGCAGGAGAGGACTCTTTAAAGTAGAGACACTACATACTGATATACACCTGAACATCAGCAGGAGAGGACTCTTTAAAGTAGAGACACTACATACTGATATACACCTGAACATCAGCAGGAGAGGACTCTTTAAAGTAGAGACACTACATACTGATATACACCTGAACATCAGCAGGAGAGGACTCTTTAAAGTAGAGACACTACATACTGATATACACCTGAACATCAGCAGGAGAGGACTCTTTAAAGTAGAGACACTACATACTGATATACACCTGAACATCAGCAGGAGAGGACTCTTTAAAGTAGAGACACTACATACTGATATACACCTGAACATCAGCAGGAGAGGACTCTTTAAAGTAGAGACACTACATACTGATATACACCTGAACATCAGCAGGAGAGGACTCTTTAAAGTAGAGACACTACATACTGATATACACCTGGACATCAGCAGGAGAGGACTCTTTAAAGTAGAGACACTACATACTGATATACACCTGAACATCAGCAGGAGAGGACTCTTTAAAGTAGAGACACTACATACTGATATACACCTGAACATCAGCAGGAGAGAACTCTTTAAAGTACATGTAGAGACATGATGTTTCTGCATGAGGCCTAATGTCTGAATGGCATCAAAGAGCCGTTTCAATGAGCAGTTTATAGCGTAGAGTAAAGCGAAGTGATCCATTGAAGGGAGGAAGTCGTCCTCACATCAGGCCTCGCTGCCCAGCTGTTGCTCTGCTCGGGGTGTTGCCATGGAGACTCACCTGTAGGGGGACTCTCTTGTCGTTGCTAAGGAGAGAGTAGGTGCCGGCGCGGGATTTACGCGGTTTCTTCTTCAAGTGTCGCCTGGACCTATCAGCCTGAGGAGCACAGACACAGGGATTAGTGTGCGCTGATACTTCCTGTACACAGTGTGCTTTCTCTCTGAACACACTCGAGTCAAGGAGAATTAGGAAAACACAGGATTCCCAGAACATTTTGTTGAGCTTATTGTCATTATGCCCCTCAGATACTCTTATTTCAAGCACAAGGCAGAGATAAATGCAGTTTTTCTGTCTTGGGCTGATCTTACTCTCTAAAATGAAATTGTAGTTGTAGTTTGTTGATGTGATTGTGTACATACACGTAGGGTTAGGGGGGGCATGCCTCTGCAGGATCCCTATGCCCTCAAATGGCATATTTTGCATATTCAAATCAACCCATTTTTCTTTGAATATGGGCTGTTTGTTAACACTGGGCAGTTTTTGTATTTATTTCCTTTTAAAAGGTTTATTCCGGTTAGAGCAGTGACCCTGAATATGCCCCTGCACGTCCCTGCCTTATATGGTCCTTTTTTTTACGATTCAGTGAACAAATCACGTGGTTTCTGTGGATCATTTGAAGTCTTCCAGCAGATTCAGATGATTCAGTATGACTAAAACTTCACCAGCAACCTGTAAACCGTCCCCCCTCCCCCTCACTGTGACTCCTGTGTGACTAACAGGCCGTGGTTTACCTGGATGAGAGTGTTCGGGAAGCCTTTGGCGGTGAAGGCCCCCGGCCGGCTGTTGTGGCTCATGTGGGTGGGACCCCTCCTCTCCAACTGTCTCCTACGTCGGAACAAAACCTGCAGGGGTGAGACAGTCACAACCACATACACAACCACAGAGCAAACATCAACTCTCTCCACTGAATGCTCCTCTCACCCCGTCCCTCTTTAGTGACAGTCTAACTCCAGCTTCAAGGGGAGGAAACTGTAAGTCCTTATGGTCAGTGGCTGCTGCATTTCTCATTGATCTGCACATAAACGCAGCTCTGCTATTGATCCACTTGTTTTCCTAATAAATGGACTGTCACTTTTTCGAAAAACAACAAGATTCAGTTTGCCTATTAGAACTTGTTGGTGTATAATAATGTTACCTCTGGGCTCTATCGATGCTTATTCCCCCTCCAAAGCGTATAAAATAGAACGTTTGTTTCAAGTATTGGATAATAACTTACTCTTTTTCCATTCAGTTAATAACAAAGACGGCTACATTAGCTTCAAATATTTGCACGGCAAGGATTTGTGCTGCCATTTAAAGTGCTTACAGTGATTGCTGTTGACCTACTTTGTAATGATTCATTCTTATTTTGGGAATTAGTTTTGTTTGGAGAACTCACTGCAGCACAATAGCTGTACAGTTTGGAGTCGAGGGGTAATTGTAATATGCACATGTTGTCCTGGGGATGCACACATTGCTAGTGTTTGCAAGGGACTTCAGTAACTTTAATTGTCTGTTTTTGTAGGCAAAACTGCAACGCTTCTATGGTCTCTCTGCCAGATAGCTGCAGTTTTTTCTGGAAGGATTAGTTTCCATATTGTACAGTATGTTTTTTATACGTTTTCTAACCAGGAAACATCATTATTTGTTTAAATGTGCTGTAATTATGGCTTTATTTACTCAAAAACCCAACACAACCAACACCCTTTTTCAATTCCCCTCTGTTATTTGTTTCAATTTCTAGCACCATGATGTGATTTATCCTCTTATATCTGCTGTGTCGTCCACTAGACTCCTTTAGAGTACAACCTGCTCTGAACAGGATCCCTTTCACAGCGAGACTAAAGTATTCAAACTAAATTGATAACCGAGTACTACAGTAGTGAGTGATACGTACCAGTCCTTCAGGTAAGGGTAGCGCACTTTGCTGCGTCTGGTCCTCATACTGAAAAGAAGAGAATCAGAGTCAACACTTATGCTGATGATATCCTTGTATTGCAGTGTAATTCAATGCATTTAGACACTAGCTGCTAACTGAAAAGATGGCCTCTGCATTGTTAAAAATGTATGAATATGTGACCATTAAAGGTGGGGTAGGTAAGTTTGAGAAACCGGCTCGAGATCGCTAGAATTTGAAAATACACAACCGGAGAAAATCTGCCACTTTCTTACAGAGCCCCTCCTCCAACACACACGAACGTGCACATGACCAATGAGGGCACGAGATAAGTTTGTCCACAGATGGAATTTTTTAATGGATTTTTTGTCAAAGCACTTCAGATATTCATTGCTATCGGGATGTTAAGAGCATTCCATGGAATATAACAAAAAGTGTATCTCGAGCCGGTTTCTCAAACTTACCTACCCCACCTTTAAGTACTCAGATCCTGCACATTTGTTAAGTTTATTTAGTGTGTGTAAATAGTCCACTGACCCAGACAAATACATTTTACAAAATATCCCAATGTATGTCCATAATTGGCAACACAAACAATCCTTCAGCACCTGAGCCGCTAGCTTTGCAAAAGAGCGCAATTTTTCTCACGAGCCAATCAGATCTGACCGGGCTTTTGGGGGTTTGGGACAGGCGCTAAAATAATGCGATTCAGTCAGAAGGAGAATACAGGTATATTCTGATGGACAGTAGGGGTAAAGTAATGGGTTTTTATAACATTAAAGCATGTAAACACGATCTAGTAAAAACCTAAAATACATAAAAGTATAAAGCTGAGAATGAGAATAACATGTCTCCTTTGAGCTAAATGTAGCATCCATCAAATCCTGCCACAATCCATCTGGCTTTCTGCTGTTCTGTGTCGACGAGCCTCGTAAATTACTCACTTAATGTTTTCCACTCAATTATAAATAAATGACCTTAGTGGGAAACTTGTGTAAATAAACCAAATGAAGCGTATGAAAAAGATGCAGCATCGGGTATTAGTTAGATGCCACCACATTTAAAGCTCATGCTGTAATTACACAAATAACCACTGCAGAAAAACACATATGTGGCACAAAGTCCCTCACATGGAAGAATGAAAACTCTCCCATGTGTGGGTGCAAATCCTCCTCTCGCCTCCTCACAGCTGTCGAAGCCGTTGTCCAGATGAGGGCGATTACTTTGGACAGAACATGAGGACCGTCCTCAGAAAAATGCTCACCGCAAGTTTAAAGTATAACAGCCGCAGCCACATGAGAAGACAAAGAGGGGAGCAGGAGGTTTAGTTCCACAGCGGGGTATATTTCTGTCGTGGTGGAAATACGGCTGTAAAAACCATTACAATGAGACTTTGTTTTGTTAGAAAATAAATGATACGTCTGCACAGGTCAGGATTAGACTGTACACGTCTACTGCCACCCTGACACATGCTTGACCACGATTAACGTCACAGACTGGACTCACATTCCTGCTGATACTGACCTGAACTATTGTACACGCACTGACCCACTGTGTCTGAGGAAAACCTAATAAACCAATACTCTATTTGGCATTTAAACCTAAAGTAAAGTATCCAAAATCCCAATTTTTTTGTTCAATTTCATTTCTTTTCAGTTCAGTTTTCTTCTAGTTTTTCTTTTTACTTCTTTAGTAAACAATTCTGCATATTTGACATTGGTATTAGGGGAAACAAGTATACAAAATGTCAACTAAAAGAAAGATTAATATTCCTTTCGTGAATTCCTGATTGTTAAGGTGTGTCCTGAGTAATATTACAGTCAATCACATGGAGGAATTGTTGGTTGAAGAAGCAGATTTTTAAGCTTTAAATCAACTGAGACAAAAGAGATAGAAATGCCAAAACTATTTTGCAACTTCACTTTTATTTCCTACATTAAAATCACTTCTCTTTGAATGATAATCAAACAGACTTATCGTTTCATTACAGATGCAGCTCCACGTTTCACAAAGTGCTCTGCTGATCCCCGCTGGACAAAACGCTGATAATCCAGATTCTTTTCACTTTCATTTGAGACAAAGGTTGCTTATTATGTCCAACAAACAACATTCCTCCAACAGGCTGCACTTACCCCTGCAGAGTCACATCAGCACACATAATGACGGACACTTAATGAACACCTTTGGCTACCACTGTCCTTCTGTAACTATCACATCCACCAGGAGCCTCTCACCTGAGCGTCTGCGGTGTGTTTGCTCACACTCAGCTCTCCCTGAGCGGCTGAGCATTCGAGGGCGTGTGACAGCAGACTGGCCTGCAGGCAGAGCAGCCAGATAGTAAACCCCATGATCCAGGCAGCGATCCTCGAGTGTTCGCAGCGCCTGTCAGCTCCCTGCTTTATACTCTCGGTCGCTGTGCTAATGGGGAACAGATGCAGGGGAACGGGAGGCCATGCCAGCTTCACGCAGACAAACAGCCGACCACAAGCCTTCGCTCCACGCCAGCCAGCGGCCTGCGGTCCTGCAGAAACATGTCAGACATGTACAGGGGCCTCCCCCTTTAAAAAACTCCCCCCTACCCAACTAACTCAAAGAGGAGGACATTTTCCACTTAGGCTTGCAGTGTAGCTCCTACCAAAGTGTGTGTAAACTCCAGAGAGGGGATACTTGTGTTGTCAAACCCTCTGTACACCACGGATGAAAAATTGGTGGTTAGGTTCTTGTAATGTCTCGAAGAAATGCGGCATTATGCAGGGAATTAGTCTGCTGCCTCGCTGCGGATGAGTCTCTTTCCTTTCTGAATGTATACGTACAGCAGCTGTTCATACAGTGGTGCTCTGATCCAAACACTTCAATAAGGCTTTCTGAATTACTGTAATTACTCCTCAGTAGGCTTTCTCAGTGAAACACACAGCCGCTTTCAACACTGTCAATCCATCTTCCATCTCGCAGATTTCTGTTGACTGAATGCTGGCAAGGGATTGTCAGATGTGGATAAAAAGCTTTATGACTCTATTAGAGAAACTACTCATCATTTCAGAAGGAAAAAACCTGAAATATAAACTTCACTTTCTCCTTAGGTTGCGCACATTATCTGGAGTTCCTGTTGAGCTGGTTTACTGTACCTCAGTGGGAGATTATATGGCCTTTTAAAACAGCACACCATAAAGCAGGAACCTCCTGATGGGGCATGTTGCAGATGAATAGGCACCCTGTTTCAAGGTGTATTACAGGATGGAAACAGTGAGTGGGAGGACAGCATCTAGTCTAATGTCTTCGGGCCTCAGGCTGCGGGTCACAGGGGATCGTCTCCTGCTGGAAACATGCACTGCTGTGGAAATTGTGGAAATTAAATACATTTAATTTCCTGTCCAAGACAAGCCCCTGCACCACTTCCCTGTCCTGCAGCGAGCCAGTGAAGGATGATGCTTCTTACTCAACAGCACTTGAGAAATCTTGTAAAAGCCCCGGTAAAGTCTCTGACAATTTCCCAGTGAGTCACAGCGTGAGTGTGGACAATGAAGGATGGTTATTCATCTCCATGCAGCTCCCAATCTCACCTCCTGTTTTTCTTGTGATGCATGCTAGACGCTGTGTAGGAGCTGCTGTTGAAATCTTCTCCCTGGAGCTTCAGTTAGACCTCTGGCTAGACAGCAGCGAGCTCATGATGTGAAGTGATGGAGGTGATGTTTAGTCAGGAGGAGACACGGTGAAGAATGACTTTAAAACAGCAAACACTGCTGTACTTGGCCGACAATCAGAAATGAAGAAAACGAGCAGGGTTGGGTTAGATTTAAAACACAAGGTAATAACTGAATATTTTTGGATTACCTTCAAGGGGCCATATTGAATTTGTATTCTGTTGTGATGAGTCAACTGCTTACAGATGTCCCGCCCCTTAGCCTTTCACGACGTAACATGTGTTTGAGCGCTAGCCAATAGAAGCGTGGGTGTGACAAAGTGATGTCACTATGTTTAGGAAGTAAATAAAGTAGTCTAATGGAGGCTCCCTCTGGAGGAAACAGGTATTTCAGCCTTTGCAGACCATTTACATGCACTACAGAAAAGGGAAAAGCCCAAAAAGCATAATAGGGCCCTTTTAAGAAAACTGGTGACTCACTTTATCATATTTTAAAGACAAAATCCAAAGTCTAATCAAGTCAACCCTTGACAATGAAGCCATAATCTAATTGCACATTTTCCTAATGTAATCTAGGTTGATGATAGTTGCTTATAATTTGTTATCTGATCATTCCTGCGAGCCAACCCTGTCTACGAGTGGAACAACATGTCTGACATTTCACTGGATTTACTGCCCAAGCTATATGTTTTAGTGTCAGTCCTCTGGAGAACCCCAGTCCTTGCTGTGGTTTAGGAAAACATCAGATGACTTCTTGTAAGACATGTTGAAATCCTGTAACCAAGGTTAAAAGCTTGCATTAAAGTCTCACAAACCGCAGTGTGGCCGTGTGAAGAGGCAGTAATCACAGCGAGGCAGAGTTATTTCATACCCCAAAATCCCTGCTATTCACTCCACACTTTCAAGTTTAAAGTCACTTTTTTTAATGCATGTCAGGGAGTTCACTGTTTTCAAATTGCTATGCAGAGCCACTCTCAGTGTTCGTGCCTCTCTCCATACCAGGAAGTGCCATTCATCAGCGGCCCTGCTTTGAGCGCCTGTCAATGTGTCGCAGGGTGAATCTGACCTTGTGGAGAAACCAAACAACTGTCTGCTCTGACCAGAGAGGAGAAGACAGGTCATTTGTGACACATAAATACTTGTAGAAATGTGTTTGTGTCTGCGTGACAGATGAGAGGAAATGTGACAACATCTGGATTAGCAGACATGACTCACAGAGTAATGGATGTTTTGGATTATGTAATTGAAACATTGACTCTCTTACAGCCCAATTTCTTAAAGGGTTGGTTCACCCAAATTACAGAGAGGCCTCCATGCATGCAGATACTTTGAGTCACATGCAGTGGAAATGTCGAATAAGATAGTTGGTTTCTAGCTTAATATTGAGCCAATGATATGAGTTTTTCGTCAATTAGCGCAACCACGGGGGAATTTGCTTCCAATTGTGTCTTTCCATTCACTTTGTTAGAGTCATGCTGCCTCTAAAATGTGTTTTGCATTCAGTTTGAACACACAGTAAGAAACCAATCTAAAAAAAACAACAAGAAAATCAATCTTTGATTTGGAGAAAGCCATGTGTTCTCACCCATAAAAAAGGATTACATTGGGTCTCAGCGCAGGGCTTTATAGAGCACTCATGCTGTAAATAGAAATCAGCAGCTAGCCTTTTATAGCTCTACATCAGTGGTGGAGTAAAATGAAGAACATTGTACTGTATTGTAAAGTTTTGATATTTATTTGTTTTTATTTTATACTTCTACCCAGGGGTGTCAAACTCAAATTCATCGCGGGCCACATTAGCATTATGGTTGCACTCAAAGGGCCGGTTGTAACTATATAAATATACATATATAAATATATAATATATAGAAAATAATGTATTATATGACATTATTGCCTCTGCATTGGATTATTATCGGATAGGGTAATAACTTAGTAATTAACTACGTCTGAAAGCAGAAGTCCAGGGCAAATAATTCTCTCTTCAGTGCGCATGTCCAGTGCGCGATGCATTGTGGGACATGTCGTCTGTAAAGTGGCATGTAACCGTATAATAACGTATTATATTCTTTGCAAGCGCTTGCGGGCCACATCAAATGAAGTCGCGGGCCGGATTTGGCCCCCGGGCCTTGAGTTTGACACCCCTGTTCTACTACTTTAGAAGCTGATATTGTACTTGTTACTCCACTAGATCTATCTGACAGCTTTAGTTACTTTCCAGACGCACATCATTAGCTAAAACACAATATAACTCAACATATGGACATGCTTATATGTTGAAATATCCAGCAGCAGTATATAAAGTCTTTCAGATTAGTTTAACCAAAACCAGCTGTGATTTACACACTAATGCACCAATGAACTACTATACAGGAATGTATACATATGATTATGAAAAGGGCCATTATGTTTAATGAGTGATTTCACTTTTGGTACTTAAAGAGGACATATTGAGCTAATTTATTTTCAAGTAAACAAAGGAGTCCAATGGAGGCGTTTCAGGCAGGGGGGAGTGTGGGAGAGAGCCTTTAAATAGATCTTGATGCTAATACTTGTGTACTTTTACTACAGTAAGATTTTGAATACTTGTAACAGGGTATTTTTACAATTCAGTATCCAATCTCAGTACAGTTTCCACCTCTGCTCTACATAAGTATTTTGCATCTGAACTCTAAAACAATTCAGAAGGGCATCGCAGAGCGCAGACCTCCGGCGAGGATTGCTTTCAGATGAAATGAACCAATGACAGTCAATTAGCCTCGATGTGCATCAAGGTGAAATTTGTCATATTGAGACATCCATTTGGCAATCTGAAGTCAGTCATGCTCCAAATAGCACTCCCAATCATGCCTCTGGGTTATTATTGTATGCAAATGTGTGTGTGTGTGTTTGGCAGCCTGTGAAGAGTAAGGTGAGAGAGTGTGTATACTTCATATAATGACCTCTAGCTAAGAAATGACCTGGTTAAATAGTTAGTTTAGATTACAAATCAATACTCCTTCCCAGCACATTGTTCTCTTCTTCTTCTTCTTCGTGCAGATGCTTTGCTAACAGCTCTGAAAGGTGTGAGAAGAGCAGCGATGCTTTCAGTCCGCTCATGTGGAAACAGCGGAAGAAGCCAAGGACGAGGCAGAGGAAAACGGCTCGGCAATTTGTGATCTTGTCATTGAACACAGAGGTATTATTGTCTGGCCTCTTACGTTTCACTTTCTGTTAATGTGTCCTTGGGTGTTTGAGCGTTAGCACACTCAAAGTGAATCTTAAATATATCATCAGATACTGACAGTGTTTGTGTTTAATCTTATTTCTAGAGGCTAACACAGAATTTCAGCGAACACAGCCTCCATTTTCCCACACCAGAAAACATGAAATATGGCTTTATATGAAAATGCTGTCTTTTAGATTAATCTTGTTACCATAACTAATCAATTCAGACATCAAAGCTCGCAGGAAGAGAACAAATTCAGTCTGTAGATAACCAATTGAATCATCTGTCACTGCGGGCTTCCAGTCAGTCAACACAACTCGCTGTATGTGGTTCATAAAAAAAGAAGGGACTTGCGCAACAAAAGCAAGAAAGTTTCCTGGGTTGCATCTCTTTTTTTAGACTATATGTTGACTTACAAGATGTAACAGTAAAACATGTGTGCTCACATTTATTTTGAGGATGTAAATGGTTTGCTTTCCAGTTTCCAAGCTGGATAACTGCAGCCTATACACATCAACAATATTAAACAGATTTTCACAACACACCTTTAATTTCTGGTTCCAGCTAAACAATAGATGCTTTAGTGACCATCAACTGGCGGCCCGCGGGCCACATCCGGCCCGCCAGACATTCTCATCCGGCCCGCAATGGGGTGACTGTGGGTGTTTCTCAATGTCGAGTAAA